AACCTTCTATCCCAAGAAACAAACAACAAATTAAACCCCAAATAAGTGTAAGGTAGGAAATAATAAAGATAAGAACAAAAAATAATGATTACAGTGAAAAAAAATACCAATAGAGAAAAATCAATGAACCCAAAAGCTAGTTCTGTGAGAACAATGAAAACAATAAAACTCTAACCAGAAAGACTAGTAAAAAAAAGGGAAAATACATAAATGACCAATATCAGGCGTATTATGCCAATACATTCGACAACTTAGAGGAAATCCACAAATTCCCTGTCAGGCACAAACTACCAAAGAAGAAATAGGAAAACCCAAATAGAAATAGAAAAGCTCCAGATATATTAAAGAAATGTAATTCTTTTTTTTTTTTAGAAATATAATTCTTTGGGTTTTTTTTGTTTTTGGTTTTTGAGAGAGAGAGTGCGAGCAGGAAAGGGGCAGAGAGAGAGAGAGAGAGAGAGAGACAGAGAGAGAGAGAGAGAGAGAATATCTTAAGCAGGCTCCACACCTAGCGTGGAGCCCAATATGGAGTTTAATCCCAGGATCCTGGGATCATGACCTGAGATCAAGAGTCAGACACTCAACTGACTGAGCTACCCAGGTGCCCCTAGAAAAGTAATTCTATGTGTTTTTATTAAAAAACTTCCCACAAGGGGATTTTCTTAACACAAAACCTAGGTAGCCCTAGATGTCTTTGCTGGTACATTCTATCAATCATTTAAAGAAAAATATTATCAATTCTATACAAAACTTTCAGGAAAGTGCAAATGAAGGAATATTTTCTCACTGATTCTATAATGTCAGCATTACTCTGATATCAAAACCAAAAACGTTACAAAAAAACGACAGACCAATCTCTCATGAACAGAGAAAGAAAAATCCTTAATAAAACATTAGTGAACTAAATCCAGCAATATATAAAAGAGAATAATAAATTAGAATAAAATGAAGTTTATTCTAGTAATAAAAGGTTGGCTTAACATTAAAAAAAATCAGTCAACGAAAAAAATCACTGTGATTCACTATATTAATAGATTAAAGAAGAAAAGCCATCTGGTCGTGTCAAAAGATGCAGAAAAGGAAGCATTTGACAAAATTTGACATTATTCATTATAAAAATTCTCAACAAACCAGAAATAGAAGAGAATTCCCTCTATCCTAAAAGGGTATCTATGAAAAACCTACAGCTAACACCATAATGGTAAAAGACTAAATGCCTTCCCCCTGAAATTGGAAACAAGTCACGGATATTCACTCTCACCTCATCTATTCAACACTGTACTGATCAGTCTAGCCAGTGCAATGAGGCAAGAAAAAGGAAAAAGAGGCAACCAGAATGGAAAGGAAGAAATAAAACTGTCCTTAATAGAAGACATGATTGTTGAGGTGCCTGGCTGGCTCAGTCAGCAGAGCATGTGACTCTTGATTTCAGGGTCATGAGTTCAAGCCCCACACTGGGCATGGAGCCTACTCAAAAAAAAAAAAAAAAAAAAAAAAAAAAAAAAAAAAAAAAAAAAAAAAAAAAAGACATGAGTGTCTACGTATTGTGATATTAATGCAAGGACAGACATAAAGATCCATGAAATGGAATAAAAATTCCAGAAAGAGCCCCACATACATATGTTTGGCTGATTTTTAACAAATAGGCCAACGTAATTCAATGAAGAAAGAACAGTCTTCAACAAATGGTTCTGGAACGACTAAACATACATATGCAAAACTATATACAAGAATTAACTTGATATGAGTCATAGACCTAAATGTAAGAGCTAAACCTATAAAAATTCTAGAAGAAAACACAGGAAAAGACCTTTTGACTTTGGATTAGGGTAAGATTTCTTAGATAAACCACCAAAAGCAAAATCCATAAAAGAAAAAATTTATAAATTGGACTTCATCATGATTAAAAACTTCTGCTTTGCAAAAGATACTGTTAAGACAATGAAAAGGCGAGCCACAGGCTGTAAGAAAATATTTGCAAATCGCATGACAGAGGGCTTCAATCCAGAATATGTAAAGTTGTCTTACATTCAATAAGGAAACAACCAATTTACAAAATGACAATTCCTCAAAGATAAAAGAATGCTAAATAAGCACATGAAAATGAAAATGAATATCATTAGTATTACTAAAATGCAAATTAAAACCACAGTGAGATATCACTAAATTTTAGAATAGCTAAAATTAAAAAGACTGATGGCAGAGATGTAGAGCACCTGGAACTCTTATACAACGATGGCAGGAAAGCAACATAGCACAGTCAATTTGGAAAACTCTTTGGCAATTCTTGGGGTGCCTGGGTGGCTCAGTCGGTTGAACATCCAACTCTTGATTTTGGCTTAGGTCATGACACCATTCATGAGATCAAGCCCCGCAACAGGCTCTGCGCTGACAGCATGGAGCCTGCTTGGGATTCTCTCTCCCTCTCTCTCTGCCCCTCCTCCACTCACATTCTCTCCCTCTCAAAATAAATAAATAGACATTAAAAAAAAAAGTTTGGCAATTTCTTATAGAGTTAATGAGACATCCCATATACAAATTTTATGGTGGCTTTATTTATAATCACCAAAAACTGGAATCTACCCAAATGTCTTTTGACTACTGAGTAGATATTTTTTATTGTTTATTCATTTTTAAATTGTTTAAAATGTTTATTCACTTTTGAGAGAGAGACAGAGAGAGAGAGAGCGAGCGGAGTCGGGGAGGGGCACAGGGAGAGGGAGACACAGAATCTGAAGTAGGCTCCAGGCTCCAAACTGTCAGCACAGAACCCAACGTGGGGCTCGAACTCATAGACTGCGAGATCATGACCTGAGCCAAAGTTGGACACTTAACTGACTGAGCCACCCAGGCGCCCCTCAACTACTGAGTAGATAAAGAGACTGTTATATCCATACAATGGAATACCATTCAGCAATAAAAAAGAACAACTGATACATACATGTATGAACCTCAAATGCATTAGAGTGAATGAAAGAGGCACACTCAAAAGGCTTCATACTATATGATTCCATGAATGTAACATTCTGAAAATGCTACAGGAACAGGAAACTGTTCAGTGGTTGCCAGGGGTTGGGGGTTAGGGGAGAGGTTAACTACAAAGCAGCACAAGGGAACTTTCAGGAGGTGATGATGGGAATGCTCTACTGGATTGCTGTGGTTACTCAAAGGTGTGCATTTACCAAAACCCCTACAACTACACCAAAAAGTAAGTTTTGCTGCATGTAAATTAAACTTCAATAAGTCTTACTTTTGAAAAAATTATTATACATCCATATAATCATGTTATGCAAGCATTAAATGAATAAGATTACCATGTATGCTGGTAATAGGATGATCTCTAACATATATTGTTAGGAGTAAAAAGCAAGATACAAAACAATAAATACATGATATTTCTATTTATATTACCCAGGCTGTCTGGGTAATATTGGCTATCTCTGGGGATCTAGAGTGAGAGCATATACCCTTTTGCACATTTTCAGTTATTATTTTTTTGACCATATGCTTGCATTACTTTCAATTATAAAAAGTAAAGGGGTGCCTGGGTGGCTCAGTCGGTTGAGCATCCGACTTCGGCTCAGGTCATGATTTCGTGGTTCATGAGTTCTAGCCCCACGTCAGGCTCACTGCCGTCAGTGTGGAGCCTGCTTCAGATCCTCTGTCCCCCACTCTCTCTATCCCTCCCCCAATGGTGCTCTCTATCTCAAAAGTAAATAAACATTTTAAAATATATATAAAGAAAGAAAGAAAAAAGAAAAAGTAAAAAAACAAAACAAAACAAAACCCAACACCTATATCCAGGTCAAGGAAAACTCGTAGGTGTCTGGCCCAAGGCACTGAGTCAAGTAGACCTAAGAAAAGATGTATAAGAATATGGAACATAATACCAGACACTTACGAGGTGCTCAATAAATAGCTGGGGGAAGAAAAATATTTGGAAGCAAGTCAGAAGGCAGACCCTAGACAAAGAGATCTCTATCTGAACACCAGATATTCAGCAGAGCCCCTGTTTTAGACAAGGAGCTTCCATCACTCCCATTAGAAAAAGAAAAGGAGCATAAAAACCACATATTCTGGATCTACTTTGGGGCAAGTTGTTTCTCAGCCTTCCTCGGCAAGCACGTTGTATGCCTTAACCTCAGCCTTCTCAGGGATGGGATGTAAGCCCTTCCCCCAGTGAACAGACCCCACCCCAGGAGGCCACCCCAAGGGCTCCCCTGTGGTCCAAGTGCTACATCCCCACTCCCAGAGGGTCCTGAGCGGCCTTTCCTCCAGCTCCTCTAAGTCAGACACTCCGATAACTTTCTGAAGGAACAAAATGACCCTGGTAGTCTCACTACACTCCAGACTGCAGACAAGCCCATCTTGGCACATCAGGTCCTTCTCCACACTGTAGCTTCATGGAAAGAAAACTCAAGAGGAAAAGGCAGATATATAAGCAAGGCCCCTCAGCAGAATGTGGTCAAAGAAACTCCCAGGGTTTGGCACAGTTTCTTCCAGCAAGCTTGGTTATCATGAAATCAGGAACTCCAGAATGCAAAATAGACAAAGAGAGAAGGTGCCAGAACAGCCAGGCCAGGCTCAGAAACCTCTCTTTGTTCCCTGCTTTATTTGGATATGCTTCCCTGAAGCCACGTAGTTTTGATGCTATGACTTGGAGCTTCTATGCTGAGGAGGCTTGTCTGGCTGCCTCTGGGTACCTGGCTTCCAAGCAGAGCCACATAGATTCTACCTGTCCCCTCCCCTCCACAGAAACAGGCTGTGCTGGCAGGAGCAAGCTCCAGAGACAGGACGGGGGTAAGGTATAGCAAGGGCACAGAGTGGGACTGGGGTAGGAACCAACCCGAAACAAGTCCTCTCCAGGCACCCACAGACTCAAGGACACAGGGCAGTAAGTTACACCAGAATTTCGCGTTCTCAGAGCACAGCATAGAGTTTCTGACTCCTGGGCCAAGGACCAGGCTGTCTGGGCAGCGGGAAGAAATAGGAACACTTACCGAGGAAAGATGGCAGTCATCAAGGCTGAAGCATAGCCAGGCTTGCAAGCTCCCTCTGAAAAGTTTGCGTATTTGGTGGCTAACTCAGCAGGCCTATGGGAAGAAAAGGAAAGTCACAGAGCAGTCAGTGGGGTATTAGTTCTTAAAGAGCTGTAGCTGTTTGAACCTTGAATAACACTTCATTCTCTACAATCAGCCTTTCAGCCCCTTTTCTACACCAAGGCTTCGGGGCGGGGCGGGGGGGGGGGGGGGGGGGGGGGGAGTGGGGAAACCAAACCAAAAATTCTAAAGGAATATAGGTAGATAAATTAGCAAGGCCCCTGTACAGAATTTGGCAAAAGGAACTTGCTGGGTTTTGCAGCAAGCTTAATACCAAGGAAATCACGAAATCCATCCAGGCTCCCAGACTAGAAATATGGAGCCTGCAGACCTAGGGAGAGAGCTGCCCAGACAGTCACAGGCACCTGCCCTTTCAGGCTTCATTGTGGGGTTGTACACACCCAGCCGCACCTGCCTCTACTCTCTCCACATATACTATGATCCCGCCAGTGGGAAGCACTCTCGGTATCCTGAATATAGGTCAAATATATGTTGGGATTATTGCTGTAACCGTTAGATGTTTAGTTGAGGATGCTCTGCTGCTCTCCTATTCTCTTTGCCCAGAATGTTCCTCCTTGTCCTTCTCCACCTGGCTATGCCGACTGGTCCTTCACAACTAAGCTTAGGTCTCAGCTTCACTGGGAGTCACTCCCTAGCCCCCAGGTTGGGCTAAGTGCCTCTTCTGTGCTCCACAGTCTGTCTCCCGTCACCCACATCACATGCTTATCCCCAGAAGCACTTGCCATGCTATACTGTAACTGTTGGTAGTTTGTCTCCCTCATCATACTGTGAACTCCCAAGGTCAGAGTCTGATTTAACCCTGCATCCCCAGTACCTTGTGCAGAGATGGGCCCACAGAAGATGCCTATAATTTTCTGAAGGAACAAAATGACTCTGATAGTCTCATTGCACTTGTACTGAAAACAAGACAGTCTTGAGAGCCCACAAGCCCTCTAGAGTGTTTGCTGTATATTTGCTGAAAATTTTTTCAGAAGACCTGTGTGTTCCAGCCCCGGCTTTGTTGCTGTGTGACTGTAGTCGAGTCACTTCACGTCTTTGGGCTTCAGTGCCCTTATGTGTTCGATGTGGGGCTAGAGTCACCGCCTTGCCACCAAAATCCGTGCCAGTGCAGTCTAGAGAAAACCGCCGTGGAAGAACAGGACACATCCAGCGACTGCTGAGGCTGGCGGCCCTGCATGCCGGGGCACCTGAGAGAGCCCTGGCTGGCTGCCAGTTCCCAGGCCCAACCTCCCCCGCCTCCACCCTTGGGCCTGCCGCCAACATGCTGGTGCCCAGCTGCTCTACTGTGCTGGGGCCCCCCGTGGTAAGTCTTCCCTCGGGGCTGCTGCAGGAACTGGGTGGGGCAGGCCTGGGGGGAAGGGGGCTGGCGCCTATACTAGACAGCCAGAAACGATGATGCCACTGCCTAGCATGTGTCATGTGTGATTCACTCCCATGCCCCTGCGGGCCTAGCCCAGGGCCTTGCACAGAGTAATTGCTCACTGAATTTAGACAAACCCATCTGTATCCGTGTGCGTTTCTTCTGGAAATCTACAATTTTTTTTAGCATTTCCTACCAGTGAAATGTAAAGCCTGAAATGCAAATATAAATGCTGAGTAATAAGCCAGAGTCGAGACTTTATTTGGTAGGCAAAAGAAAAGTCAGAGGTTTAACAAGACAATTTACATAACAGTATTTTCTTATATAAACAACTGTATTTCCGAAACAAAACAGAAACTTCAGTATACTTCGTGAACTTGCGGAAAGCTCTGAGACTAGGTGCAGTGACTGAAATACAGATTTTTTTCAATTACGTCTTCAACAGCCATGTGAGTACATGCTATTAGCTATCCACTTACACGTGAGCCCAGAAAGAGAAAGAGACTTATCCAAGATCCTATAGCTAGTAAGTGGTAGACATCAGTAAAGAAGCTCTTCATAGGAAGTACCACCAGTGTGGATCGTGGTAAGGGCCATCACAGAGGGAAGCACAGAGTCCAGGGACAGCACATAAGTGGTGAGTGCCAATGGACAGGGGTAGAGAAGAGGGTCAAGAAAGCCTCACACAGCTCTCCGACAGCGTGTCTACAAGCAGTGAAGTGTTGTGAGTCTCCCAATCCCCCACTCTCTGTGTCCTGCCTAGTAGCAGTGGATTCCTGTGCTCTTCCTGAATTCCAGAAAGTTTCACACTGAGGACAAAAGACGGACAGCAGCTGCCCCTCTAACACGGTGTACCACAGACACAGATATACAACAACAGATAAACCTTTGGCCCCATCTTTCCTCTCTCTGGCTTACGTCGTCCACCTCTGGCAAGGTGCTTCTGGAATAAGGGCTATGGGCAGTCCAAGATCCATGGACTCAGGTAATCTATCATGGAAAAGAGGGGGGCACCGGCCAGCTGGAGCACAAGGAAGCCAGAACCTAGCCCGGAAGGCTCTTCCCATGACAGTGCAAGGTAGTGAGATGTCAAGGATGAGCACCTCTAAATCAACCCCCCCACCTCCATTTAGAAAGCAACAGTAACTTCTAAAACATACAGCCCCGGGGACAGGGGGCCACGTCAAGTTATTACCAAATTAAAATGCCTTAGCAATGGCCTCCTGACTATCCCAGTGGGAGAAGAATAGGGGGAGTGTTGGGGATTCTGAGTCATACAGCAGGCTGGGACCTCTGGGGCAGTTAGCGGTCAAAACCACCAAGATTAACAGTCGCCAACTCCCTCAGGCCAGAATGGTTAGTTTCTCTAAGGCACTCACACTCCAAATGCCAGGAGGCCCCCACAGATGTCTGATCAAATCATTCAGCCCTTGTTCCTCTCAAACTCTGCAGCTGGCCTTTCATTTTGGGAGATTTAGCATTTCAACCAGTAAGAGCACCCATTGTCCTGCAAACGTGAGGACCAAGCCCCTGGGGTGAAGAGGGTAAACCACTGTACTCAAGAGGAAATCCAGATGGACAGACTGGAACCCAAAAGAAGGAACCAAACATCCACTCCCCTGCTTCACCCCAGAGCATGGAGTTTAAGGATCAGGCCAAGCAAAGGGTTGTAAATGAGAAGAGCGTAAGATCTGGGATCAGAAACTTCAGTGTCCAGGGGACACTGGCAAGTTGTGTGACCTTAGGCAATGATGAAACTCTGATTCTCAGCTTTCTCGTCTGCAAATGGGAACCACTCACTTCCCAGGGATCTCCGGAGGATGTGGCGAGAAAGTGCACGTGAAGGGGCTGGCTGTCCTACAGAGTGCCACACAAACGTTATGTGAAAGATGAGATGCCAGAGGCAGGCATCGGATCATGGAGGCTTTGAACACTTGGCTCTAGTTTGAATTCTGAGGTAGGGGAGGGTCACTGAAGGATTCCCAGAGGGCGAGTGCCCAGACCATCGTGTGCATTTTTAAGGATCAATGTTTGGGAGGCAAGGAGGCAGCAAGAGGCTGAAAGGAGAAGTCCAGGAGACAGAACATTAATCTGGAGAGAGTGCTCTCTCAGTTGTCGAGAGGAGAACCAACCGAGTGCAACACAGTGGGAAGCCTGGTGAGGTGTGGCCACTGGATCAACAGCTGGCTTTGGCAACAGGGAGGTTACTCTTGACCTTGACAAAAGCTGGTTCACTGGAGAGTGGGGGTGAAATGCTGATTTCATTGGGTTTAATAGAACACAGAAAAAGTGGAGTCATGGAATACAGACTACTATTTTTAGGAGTTTTGCTATAATGGAAGACAGAGAAATGGGGCAATCGCTGGAGGGAAGAAGCAGGGAGAGACGTTTTTGAGTTAGAAATTAGCTTAGCATGTTTGTAAGCTGGCTGGAATAAGACGGAAATTCCTGATGTGATAGAGAGAGGATGGCCATAGGAGAAATGTCCTAGAAGAGGTGAGGGGGGAAAGGACCTAATACAGAAGTAAGAGGGTTGGCCTTCCTCTGCTGGCCCTGCCCTGCCCTGCCCTGGCCCATGACTACCTCTTTATCTTGCAACACTCAGTTTAAGCACCACCCCTTTATGAAACTTTGTAAAAAATTTTTCCCCTCCCTGGCAGAACCAACCTACCTGCCTGTGGACCCCATTTCGCTTTGCTGACTTTCAGCTTAGCTCGCTCACTTGTTCCCACACTCTTCTCTCCCTTCCTCCTTCCCTTCCTCCCTCTCATTCATTCATGCATGCATGCATGCATTCATGTAACAAATATTTAGAGGCGAAAGAGACACTCTGCTTGGATTTGTAACCTGGCTCTATCCCTTCCTCACTGTTTGATTTTGGGCATGTTATTTAATTGCTCTGTGCCTTAACTTCCACATCTTGAAAAACTGGGATTATACTCATACAATTGTACTGAGAATTATGTTAAGAATAAAGTGTGTTTAGGGGCGCCTGGGTAGCTCAGTCAGTTGAGCGACTGACTTCGGCTCGGGTCATGATCTCACGGTTTGTGAGTTCGAGCCCTGCATCAGGCTCTGTGCTGACAGCTCAGAGCCTGGAGCCTGCTTCAGATTCTGTGTCTCCCTCTCTCTCTCTGCCCCTCCCCCACTCATGCTGTCTCTGTCTCGGAAATAAATAAACATAAAAAAAAATCTCAAAAAAAAAGAATAAAGTATGTTTAACTAACTAGAATTAAAAAAAAAAAAAAAAAGACATGACAGGGGCACCTGGGTGGCTTGGTTGGTTAAGCATCTAGCTCTTGGTTTCAGCTCAGGTCATGATCTCATGATTCATGAATTCAAAGCATCACCTTGAATGCTTTGAGGAGGAAGCCTGCTTCAGATTCTCTCTCTCTTTCTCTCTCTGCCCCTCCCCCACTTGTGCTCTCTCTCTCTCTCTCTCTCTCTCTCTCTCAAAATAAATAAACTTAAAAAAAAGACATGACAAATAAATACAAAAACAAAACAACAACAACAACAAAAAATAAATTGCATCCAGGTCTTTGCGTAGCTTAATGTTCATTTGTTTTAATCACTGAATATTATTTAATTGTATGGATGTCCCACACTTCAT